CGAATATTAGGAAAAAAAAAAAAATTCGATTTTTTACGAATTTTAGGTACGAAAAGAATGATGGGTGGATTTATACAATATAAATTCGATTATAAAATTTTGGGTGGATAATTGACGACAACGAAAGGAAGAAATTGTTTGTGAATGTGTGGAATTTTTTATCGACAAACGACAGTTCTATTAATTTGTTAATTGTATATGTATATAAGAATTAGACATTAAACATAAAAAAAAAGAAATTATCTTATAAAAAATGTGGGAGGATTAGAGAAGACAAAGATGATGCTTAAAGTTGAAATGATTAATCAAAAAGAGAAATTCGGATTAAACCATACACATAGGGTGGTACATAATGCATAAAATGAGTATGTCCAAACACGGAGGATAGTGCCGAAATGCGCTCAAACGTTAGCGGAACAACCTTGGCCCTCTTTCACTATCCATTAGAGAAAAAGAACTCAATGAGGAAGACATGGGTGTCAAGGTCGTTTGTGTAAAATATTGTTCATGCCATTGAGGCTCATCGGGTGTTGGTAAGGTTTGGCGTGTCGTAGTGGCAAACTCCTGGCTTGTACGCATAGTTGCAATGGAATTATTGCCAGGTGATATTCGAGATTGACCACTTATTTCTGAGTCATCGCAAAAGCAAAGGGAACCTTTACTGAAAATTGAAGAATCATTCACGATTCCATTAACAGAATCGATTGATGTCGAAGAATGAGTAGGGGAACGAGGTCTGTTCCTTGAATTCGATTGTTCGTCATAGTTTTGCATGAATGAAGATAAATTGTCATTTGACAATGGGGGATAAGGCTTTTGTGAAAAAGATGGGCTATCATTATTGATCGAAAGCGAATAATCTTGTAAATATATTCTTTCGTTAGGACAGTTATTAATGATAACATCTCTATGTGTACTATTATCTTTTTGCTCATCAACACCATGATATATTTGATTATCTTCAATCATGTTTGGAACAGAATATATCGCGTTAACCACATTACAACACGGATTTGCGTTTTTATTATCGGGCATCTTGTCGGTAAGTTGTACATCCGAAGATGCAATACCTAGTCCACCATCAAAACCATAATTTTCGAACCTAGAGAGGCGCCTCTTTAATACAGCCACCTCCTCTTTTAACAACCTATTTTCATTTTGATATTCAGCATATGCTTTTTCGTACATTTCTACTTTATTTTCTAAATTTCTTAAATAGTTTTCTCGGCGTTCTCGAAAAGCACGTTGATTTGTTAAGTTTTGTTTGTGTTTTTTATTGGATGGCATAATGTTTAAGCGTTTCCTACCCCTCCTATTGGGTACGGGTTTACCGGTTGGACCTGCTGGTATTGTTTGTTGTTGACAAGGAATGACAGGGAAGGTGGTTGAATTTATCGTGAATTCTGATGAAGATGGTGGCCAATTCGATAACAGCATCTCGGTATGTTTTGTTGGAACTGGTGGTCTAGGAATTGGTAATCTTAACGTTTGAGAAATCGATGGAAACTCATTCAATTTCAGCGGCAGCGGTTGGGACATTTCATAAAAAGAAAGGAACGGGAATATGAGCGAGAAAGGATTAAGGGTAAAAGAAAACCATTAGTCCTTCTTTTATAACAAAAAATAACAAAAAATGCAGTACATCGCTCATATATTGTACATCCATTCATCGCTCATATATTGAACACGAGCTAACACACCTGTCATGTATTGTATTTTATTTGTCAAGATCTACACTATTGTTGGTTTCGGATAAAATGTTTGAATCATTATTTATTATTTACCATTGTTATAGTTTGTTTACAAGCAATTTTATTCTTTTTAGGTCCGTATTGGAACTGATCCTTACACCTTTTTGGGACTCCAATTCAAAAACAAAGGGTATCGATTAAGAATACCTGGTATCATCGGTTTAGATTCTAGTAAAAAAAAGAAAAAAAAAGGGAAAAAAACTGTGTCACGATTAAATCTTTCAGAATTTTTTAGTCGTGAATAAGATCAGTCCGTTGATTGGCTTCCCTTCGAGCATGTTTCTCATCCGCAATTTTTTATTGGCTAATTTCTTACAGTCTCTTACAGAAATGTCTAACCTTTTTTGTAGATGCTTACCAGATGGAGTAATCAACAATGCATTGTCTTTTTAATCAAATTCCTGTTTGATAAAATAAAAAATGGTTCGATATATAATGAATGGGAAAATTTCTATCAACAACATTCCTTTAGACACGTTTCTCGATGAATTCTGTGAACATTTCATTGCAAGGTTTGTATCACAAAGGTTAGAAAAGAAAAAAGAGAAACGAAAAAAAAGTCTAACCAATTAGTTTGCATTATTTTGCTTAGGCTGAGATTATCTGTTAATCTTTTTTACGTACATATTAGATAAATGTGCATAATGCATATATTATATGCATTATACAAAGCGTGTCACTATGCTCCAATATCATTCGTTTAAATTACAATACATGACCGACATTCGGTTTTTTTTACGATATAAGGTATGTTATCCGCCTCTCGGAAAATTACGATAATAACGGTAACACTATTGAATGAGACACATGTATCAATGAAATATGCATTGATTCTTTGAAGTCATCTAAACTATGTTTGTAGCTTTAATAGTAATTAACAACCATCAGAAAAGTTCAAATAATTAATTATTCCGGAGTTACCCAATCATCGTAGACCTTACATAAGATAGTGAATAAATAGTGAATAAAATAGTGAATAAATAGTGAATAAATAGTGAATGAGGTGACAAACAAAATATGATGGACATAATTGAATAAAATCGGGTGATACGTTGATATGTTGATACAGTATCGGTATATGAATATGACGCGTAGTCTTTTTAAAGATGGTTTAACTAAAAATGCAATTAAAATGTTAATTTACTGAATTGACATCTGTGATATTATCTTTTAATGACCGTTCTTAGTTTTATTTTATATTTTAGATCTTTAGTATGCATATTAAGTTAACTATTAATTAGTTTTGTTAAAAAAATCTTTCACATGTTTAACAACCGTTTTTAGTTTTATTTTATATATAGACTAACGCTAAGCTAACTACTCTGATTATTACATTCCTTGAATTGTCTTAATATATATAATTATTAAAATTATATGTATACGTACGTATATATGAAATTGTCTTTTGAAGCTTGTATGCTATATCAGATATAATTTGTATCAATAATGAGGTTTTACTCTGTCGTATTATTATTATTCTTAAAGTCAGTTCTTTTTTGTATTAGTCAGTTCTCTTGTATTTTATTATGCTCGTAACTGTCGTTGCAAGTAACAGGCCAATCATATTTCTATCTATGGTTTGCGTTACACGAACTTTTAATGATTTTAATTGGCTGCATTAAGTAATTAGTGATTGATGATCGATTACTAGACAAATAAAAAATATCCGACAAATAAACAAGAAAAATCGTGAAACACCAGATTGCAATACAAATAAAAATGACACGCGCTTATTTGCGCGAGTAATACAAACCTCTAAAAGGGAAGAGCCAATCAGAGAGCTCAAATTTTGACTATTTCGGATCAGCTCGTCATGAATTCCGAACACGTGCGAAAGAAGAAAAAACCAAAAATACTCAAAAACTAGCAAAAACTAGTGCCGAAATCGACCTTGGTGCACTAATTAAAAATAATGTCGGAAACGAATTTTACATATAACGAGTGACTATCTATTGCTATAGTCTCTAATGTTAACGTTTTAACTCTAAATTTATACTTACGCACTTTGTTTATTTAGATTCCCTTTTTGGTTTGTGTTACTTGCGCAAATGACTCGTAACGTCAAAACAACGGGTTAATCGTAATAATAGTATAATAGTAAAACTTTATAATCATATAACACTCGAAAATGTATTTAGAGTACCAAAAGTCGCCCTAGCTAGAACAATCCCCACTATAAAAAAATTTATCTATATTTTTGCGAATCATGTTTTTATAATTAACCAAATCAGTTTTACAGACACCTTAAGAAATTAATAGTAAGTGAATTTTAAAGATTCGGATTCGATCCGAAGTACGAATCGAATCCAAGTAGGGTTCCGCAAATGCCCATGCCAGGCAAATTGGTACCATGCCAGGCACTAGCGCCTCATGCCATACCCATACCTATAGGCACAAAAGTGCCAGAAATTATTATGGGCATGGGCACAAATGCCGGGCATTTTTATAGGCATAGGCACAAATGCCAGGTACTTTATAGGCACAGCACAATATGCCAGGCAAAAAGGTGTCAGCACAAGTGCCGGATAGTACCAGACATACATACAATTAATTAAGCCTATACCAAATTTTTGTACCAGTGTCTATGCCCATGGCAATGCCTGAATTTTTGTTGGGCAGATCCCTAAATCCAAGTCAGGATTCGAAATCTTATCATTTAGATCCGGATTCGATCCGAATCCAACCAAATTCGTGAAACATCTCTTTTCGGCAGTTTGCTCTTGTTCAAATGTGTTTATTGAAAAAAAAAAACGCCCTGGTTCAAATATATTAAAAAAAAAAATCGCCCTGATTCAAATGGATTTATTGAAAAATTTTTCTAAAAAAATTCTGATTGATGATAAATCAATCAATATATTATCTAAGGGCAAGCGGGCAGTCCTTGAAATGCTGCCATTAATTCTAATAACTACGTGAGAAAGCATATGAAGAATAATTTAATTAACTGCTTAATTTGAAAACTTAATCTAATTTCTATAACGATAATAACCGTATTGTTAGAACACAGTATAAGAATAGGCGCGTTACAGGCCCCGTTCAGCGATTCAGACTCTTTTCATTAGTATATACTATATTTACCCTAATACAGTAATACGGATGCTTTATTTAGTTTAGTAAAAAAATTTGAATTTTTATGTATATTCAAATATAATACATATACCGCACTGCTGAAAAAAGTCTGGACCGTTGAACGGGGCCACAGTTAACCAGCGCCCACCATCCACAAGAGGCAATATTTGATCCCACGCGCAATTCATCAGAATCGTACTGATGTATGCTGCATATTCACACAAAAAATCATCCAATATGGTTTAAATATCTGTCATGATTAACCGATGCATTTAAATAATACTCACATCACGTTTTTCAAAAAAATAAATAAATGCATTCACGCCATCTTGAGCATAATTGTTAGGCGAAACCATATTACACAAAGGGAAAAGGATCACAAGAAATCAGACATAACTTAGCATTAGTGAATTTTATCAATAAAACGGATCCGAATCGAATATTATCCAATCGAATCTCTATTTGATCCGGATTCGCAGGATTCGTAAATTATGATCCGAATCGAATCCCGAATCCATTTTGCGGAACATTACCTATTATTCACAAGAGGCAAGATTCGCACCCGAATCCTTCTATCCACGCGCAGTCCATCAGAATCGTACTGATGTATGCTGCATATTCACACTAAAAATCTTTCAATATCTGGCATTATTAGATATATATATGTGGGCGCATTTAAATAATATATCAAAAAAATAAATAAATAAATTGTTAGACAAAACCATTTTACGCAAATGGAAAGAAATCAGATGTGTATAGCTTAGCATTGGTGTAAACCGGATCCGAATTGAATATTATCTGATCAATTCGAATAGATTCGTCGGAATCTCGAATCCATTTTGCGGAACACTACCCTTACCCTAGGCTCAAAACTTGATGCCCTAGCCCGGCTCGCAAAATCCGCAGGTACCCGTGGGTACCCACGGGCTTATTATTAGTAATAGGATGCCATCCCTAACGTCATAGTCTGCCAGGTGATCGATTATTTGATTCATACAATTGGTTAATTTTTGTCCAATTTTAATTACTGTTCTTCATGTTCATACACTAAATTATACTCATAATAAATATTTATAAGTTTGGATGGCTTATTTAAATTTTTAGATTAATAAATAAATTTTGTACTAGTGCTAATTATGAACTTGAATGATTTATTTTGAATGCTTATATTAATAATATTCTTCACACTCATATATCAAATTATTCGGATAAAAGAAATTAAATGACAAATAAGTATTGCTAAAAGAAAACATACACATTTAAACATAGCCTATACATAAATGTGTATGTTTTCTTTTAGTGACACTCAAATAAATAAATACTTGCATTTACAGCTGGGGTCTCAATTTGAAAATATAGACCCTGCTAAAATCCACATACACGTTTTGATAAAAACATCTAAAAATTTTTAAAATTTCATATCAAAGTATATAGGTTCAAATTTCGGCATCGGCCACGACAATCCTAATCGTAATTTATTCTTATTTCAAGAATGAATCGATGTAAATTAGCCAATCATATAAATTTAAATTTACATGAAATGTAAATAATGGGTATCTATGGGTAGGGATGTTAAAAGTCCAGTCCGGTCCGGTCCGACTCCATGAGTCGAAATCTTGACTCAGTCCCGAGTCAGGCTTGGACGACCGGGGTAAAATCGCCACCCAAAAAAGTTTCGAACGTTATGTGACAAGTATATCGAGCACAAAAATCCATGTA